TCTCTCTCTCTCTCTCTCTCTCTCTCTCTCTCTCTCTCTCTCTCTCTCTCTCTCTCCCCTAGAGGCAGGTTATGCTTTCCTACCCTTGCATAACAGAGCTCCAGGTATTCTAGTCCTTGGGTTCCAGGTTTTCACCAGTGGCTCCCCAGCTTTTCAGGCCTTCAGATTTGGACTAGGAGGCAAATTGTCACCTTCCTGGCTCTGAGGCTTTTGAATTTGGGCCATGTCACACTATCGGCTTTCTTGGTTTTACAAATTATAGATAGTCTATTATGAGACTTTTCACCCACTGTAACCATGGGAGGCAATTTCTTCAATAAATCTCCTATCTAGCTAGCTCTCTATCAAGCTATCTATATAATTAATTCTGCTTCTGTGGAAAACCCTAGTAAAGACAATGTAATGAACAATAATGGTATTCCATGTGAAAGAAAACTTGAAGATGGGCCAACGTGTTTTATAAGTGAGAAAAAGAGATCATGAATTAAGTTTTACATTTTAAATGTGAAGTGTCTTTTATGTAGTCAAGGAGAGAATACAAAGTAGTGATATGAATCTAAGAAATTCAAGTGTATATAAGAGACAAATAATGGGACTTGTGGGTTTTCCATGAGCATAGACTGAGAATAGGAAAGGGCCTAATCAATCATGAAACACTAAAGATTAACGGCTAGGCAGAAAAAATGTTATACCCAAAGGATATATAAAAAGTATGACCTGAGGATTGAGATGAATTCAGAGTATGAGTAGTTCCATGAAGGCCAAGAAAGAGGGAATATTATTTAAGAAAGTAGCAAGCAGGGAATAAGAAATCTAAAATACAAACAACTCTTCACGGAATTATTCTGAAGGAAACCAGAGAGATAAGTTGTAACTGGAGGAAATGTGCAGTCAAGTTGGGACACTTTTTTTTTTTTCTTTTAATGGGGGTAAGGAATCTCTTTAAATGTCAAGAGGTAGAAAGTTCAATGCCCAGGTTTCTGAAGAAAGGGAAAGTTGGCCTTAAAGAAGAAGGGACTCTTGTGTACTAAGGAGTAGCAAGAACCAGAATACAGATAATATTTTATAAATATATCTTTTTAGCATAGACAAAATAGTGGCATATCACGATGGTTTCTTTTTGAAAGAGCAGATGAATTGAACGTGAAGTGGTGGAAGGGTAAAGGAAAGTATGAAATGCTAGAAGGATTGAAATGTATTCAGACCAGCATATGATTTTTAAAAGACCCATTCAAATTTTGTGACTGAGTTTCCAGTCTGTAGAGGATCTTCTTCCAGCAGCACTCAAAGCCCTAGGGCAGAGAAAGAAAGCAGGCAGAGTTCTCCTGCATGGAAATTCCAGATAGGAGTAATGTGAAGATAGACCGAAAGGGAGTTAGGAAATGGCCAGAGAGTTCTTGAATACATGTGATGTGAAATATAAAGAATATAATTTGAAGTGAATAAAAAAGAGCCTGATGAATTGGGAATAAAATAGAAATTCCAATCAATGATATATTAATGAGATCATAGGGAGATGCCTCAATTGTGAACACATCAATTGAGTTAAAATACGTTGTAGGTGGAGCTTAGGAAAAGCCTGTCATGGAAATGTCCCTTGACTTCTTAATTTAAATTGACTGCCCCATACAATGTTATGGTCTCATAAGATCTTTCTTCTTTGCTCTTATCAGTGCCTTCAATTCTTCCTGTGTTGTATGTATCTGTATGCTCATGTGCATTTGAGGGTGTGGAGGTAGTACCTGGGATTGAACTCAGGGACGCCTAAACACTGAGTCATATCCCCAGCCCTTTTTACTTATTTATTTATTTATTTATTTAGAGACAGAGTCTCACTAAGTTGCTTAGGGCCACATTAAATTGTTGAGGCTGGCTTTGTAATTGTTGTCCTCCTATCTCAGCCTCTGAGTCCCTGGGATTAGAGGCAGCACTCCTCTACTCCACAATATCTCACGTGTATTTTTAACATAAAAGCTGTCTTTCTTATTGGACTACAAGTTCCGGGGACATAGAAAATATATTTCTTCAATTGAAATATTTACTTTTTATTCATCTGTAGCAATTTGGTCCATGTCATACTCTTAGTAAATGTTAATATTGTTGAGATGAATGATGCACTCTTTAACTGACAAAAGGTGTTGGGTCTCTAGGTTAAATGATGTTTGTAAAGGAACACCTGTAGAGGAATACCTTGGAGAAGGCACATAAAGAACAGACACAAACACAAATAGTGCCAGCAGACAGACAGGAGGAGTGGAGAGGAGTGAAGAATGAAGTGGTGAAGAAGAAATGCATAAGTGAAGTATCCACTCCTCCCTGCCAGGGAGTTTATTAACTCAAAGAACACATACCTCCAATTACCATGACTATATTCTAATTAGCATTTCTTTAAACCGAGCACTAGCTAACTGAGATAAGATCCAGGTTAGAAATAACAAGGGGCTCCTACCTTCCAAGAGCATATCCATAGAAACAAGATAGTGCCTGCATAGTTGGCTTCATAGCTCAGAGGGAGGAGGCTGGGCATCCTAGGTCTGGGAAGAAGGGCAGACTTGTGAAGGACAATGCTATGGCAGCCAGGCATTCTGTGCTTTTGCACAGGAGTTTCCTAGTCTCCAGGTATTACCTAGCAGTCAGGCATTCTGTGTCTTTGCACAGAAACTTTGTAGTCACCAAGTATGTCACAATCAGAAAGTTTGTAGACCCCAATTCCAAACACAGAATTCCTACAGACATGAATATTTTTAAAGGTATTTAGACCATTTTGAAATCTAAATAGAAACCTTGGTCAGGTTTGCCTTCTCATTATTACTATGAGTGTCTGATCTGACCTTCTACACATTGCGTGTACATACAAAGGATATCTCATCCTAAACTTTCAAACATATAAAATTAAACTTCTTCTGCAAAGACTGAGAATGTACCTGTAAGTCAAAAGTATAAGTGATTGTGCTGATTTTGAAAATGATGGCTGAGACAGAAATTATCTGAGAGCTTGATCTTCTCATAAATAGTACTGATGTGCAGTCTGGTCATGCAATAGGAAGTCTCAAAATCTGTAATTTCTAGGTTACTCCCAGGGTCTAGTGTCAATTGAAATATACAGTGTACATTTTATTGCTTATATGGCAAAAGGTTCTCTGAGAAAATGAAACAATGATTTTATTTTCTTTTCATGTTGCCAGGGGAAGAGAAATATTTTTTTAAAAAATACTAACATTTGAGTTTTAACTTTGTGCCTCTTTCTTATTTCTGTCTGCAAGCATTCTCAACAGAAATGACTGAGCAATCTGCCAAGTCTTATTTTCATGCTTTTTTAACTACCTAAAGAATAGATTTTATTTGGTTCATTTTCTGAATGGAGACATTGCAATTTAATGGAGTCATTAAAATTGATCTAATTGTGTAAAATAGGTAACCATGCAAGACTAAAACAAATAAAACATTTCTTAGGCAATAACCTATTTAATGTGAGTAAAGGGAGTTTTGTTATTTAAAAAAATCAAATCTCTGTATAGTATTGGGCTGCCTTTTTGTATTATGCAGCTGTGCAATTCACTCATGTGGGTGCTCAATAGATACTAAGAGAGCATAATAATAATATCATTCCAATCAAAGAGTCAAAAGAAAAACATCAATGCAAATATAGAGTGCTTGATGCATTGGTTTATACAAATGTCTGTGCAATGCATAACAACAAAAATTGTAACATCTGGAAATCAGCTGGAGTCTGCTATGACAATCACAATATAAAACACAACAAAGATAATAAACCAAGTGTTTTTATCTAAGATGAATCTGTTATTTGGCTTCCTTTTAGCTGGGAAGGGGATTACAATGGCAAATATTAGCTGGCCATTGGAATATTTAATAAGTAGAATTACTTTTTTTTGTTTTCAATCCATATGAGCAATATGTTTATTGATGCTACCAAAGGAAAGCATCATGCTACCACAATCCTTTGCTATCAGCTAAGTAATTATTTATGTGAATAGATTCCTCTGAGTTTGTAGAATTTTTATTTTATTACATTTTTTATATTTAGTTTATTAAACAGATCTTAATATTGGAGGTTTTAATTCATTTACTATTATTTAAAGAATAACTTTTAAATTTTGCCATTTTTATTATCCTCTTTCTCTAATGGTGAGAGATTTTTACTATTCAGATTTTTGCTCTTTTCTCCAAAGGATATGGGGGGAAAGGAAAGAAAAAAAAAATGTCCTAAACATTGGGTTAGAGATTAAAGATGAGAGTTTGGAAATTGATTCTGATTTTAATTTTTCTTAGTGATTTGTTCCTCAACTCACACATTAATTTAAATATAAGATTTTACTTTTACCTGATATTAGGTTCCATGAACATGGCAGTGCAGTCTAAGGGAAATATAGAAGCACCTGCTATAATACTTTTTTTTCTAATTTTTTTTGTAGTGTTTTCCTTTCAAATCTCAAAGATCTCTATACCTTTGATGGCTTTGTAAGAGAATCAGACAGAGACCTTCTCTGCCTGTTTTTTCCACCATGCCTTCTAGCCATTCTGTGTTTTGATCTGCGTTTCCATCTGGACGTCCTAACGTAGTAACTCTGGCATCTAATCCATCCACTTTATTATCTTTTGAAATACCTACTTCCTGAAGTGAATTTATTTTGGCAGCAATGGCTTCTGATAGAGATGTATTTTGTTGTGTTTTTTTTGGAAGGGAGGTGAGTCCAAAGAGTCCAAACTCACTCCCTTATGACAATCCTTTGGCCTTTTCTCATGGCAAACTTTGGCAAAAAGAAAATAAATAAATAAATAACCTCTGAGTAAACACTTGTTATTTGTCATTATTAACTTGTGTTGTCCCAAAGCTAGAAATTTCAGCTGCTGAACATAAAGAATAGGAATGTGCTTAAGGAAATCAAGTTAACATACTATAATAGAAGCAACTTTCAGAGCTCCCCAGAGCACATCTTTCCACTTTCTTTCTAACTCACTTTCAGTGTTGAGTTCATTTTAATCTTTGGAATATAATTTGTAAACGATTTTGGCTATGTGAAGCTCTGCAGAAAAATACTTGTACAGTGCTTGAATGTTTTGTATTTTGACAGTGCAGTTTCTGAAGTTGAAATAGGAGAATGCAGGAGAGATGAAACTGTGCAGAAGGAACATACAAAATGTCCACCAGCAAAATTTACTTCAATCTTTTACATGATATGTATGTCTTCTTAAAGTTTAATTATGCTTTATTTTGCATAACAAAACTGGGGAATTCTTTAAATTCTGTTTTGCACATAACTTAAAATACTCCCTGACATTTTTTTTTTTTTCTGAGCATCTCACAGATTTGGTTGTGTTGTGGATAGTCATTGTTTTAACATAATAGTTGAGGAGAAAGAATACACTCAATATTGAGTTTTGCTTTGGACCTTTTATTAACTTTATGATATCTATCAGGCAATACTTTAGAAAAGACGATCTGTAAAAGATGAATCTCTGATGATTAAAAGCATTTTATCAGTTCTGGTAACAAATGTGTATATTATTGAATCTGAATATGAAGAAACTAGTGCAGATGTTACTATTTTGTTGAATAAGTGAGAAACAGTATAATTTCCTTTAAAAATATTATATAAAATGTATATCTGATATCTACATTTACATATTTCACATGGCTCATATATGTCAATCCACCTTTTTGGACTAGTTCTTGGGAAAAAACACCAGAGAAACAATTTTGTTTGTTACAGTAGAAGTGGAATCTTTTTCAATATAATTGTACTCATTAAAAAAAAAAAATGATTTCATGGCTACCACTTTAACCAAAGTTCTGAGTCCCAGGCCTTGTACTACCCTTATATTAAGCTACTTATGAGAGCAGGCAACTGAAAAATATGTAATCACTTGTCAAAAATTAATCCATTTAAGTAATGTTTGAGATGTATTTTCATTTGTTAATTTATTAGTATATTTCTTCCTTTTTCTATTACCCCTCCCCTTTTTTCATACTTGGAATCAAACATGGGCCTTGCACATGGTAATAAGGGCTCTACTATTGAATTACATGTCCAGCCCTCTGTTACACTTTTTGAAAACACATTTGGTTCCAGACATAAAAAAAAAGACCTAAATCTCCAGGAAATTTTAAAACTCATATAAGAAAGAAATCATAGTATGATACAATGAAACAAAATAGTGTAAGTTAATGAGACTTTACTGGATGGTTAGAGGTTCAGTGTGACTGTATGCAAGGAAGGAGTAGCCATGAATAATAGGTAATTGAAAAGGTCTAGATTATAAGGATCTTTTATTACTATAATTTATCTAGGATAAGAGTGATCTCCAAAGTGTAGTGTATGTCCTAAGGGTGAACACAAGTTGATTCAAGGGTCATCATCTTTTGTTGTGTTCCCCCAAAGACAGAGACCCTGAGACAATTATGTGAGTTCAAGTCTTCTGGGGAGTGATACTAGAAAACAGCAGTAAGGAAGTTGGAGGTTATTTGTGCACCTGGAAATCAATTTATTTGAGGAACTCTAGTATACAGCATGGATTATGCTTCAGAGGTATCTTCAATGTATAGACAAAAGAGCTGATAAAAAAAAAAT